GCCTTCTCCTGCGAGGCGCTTACACAAGGATTCCTTTGTGTTGCGGGTTACGAAAGGATTCCTCGTGTGCGGATTACAAAAGAATTCCTGTGGTGTGGCGGATTGCAAAAGGTTTCCTTTTGCGAAGGGTTACAAAAGAATTCCATGTGTGGCGGGATGCACAAGGATTCCTTGCTCTGTGGCGGCTTTGAAAAAACAAGGATCCCTTCAGCGGTGGTGTACAGCAAGTGCCCCTTTTGTGGAGGATTGCAAAAGGATTCCTTGTGTGGCGAACTGCTGGAAAGAATTCCGATTGTCGCTGCCATGTTTCCCCTCTTTACCCCGTCTCCCCTGAAAATGCTTTTCAAGTGTTCCTATTGTTCGCTGTGTTTTATAAGTGATTGCAAGTTGTTTTCCTCTGTTCCACTTACTTGTTCGGGGAGGAGGGCGCCTTCTACTCCAAGGCGGTTACACAAATATTCCGTGTGGCCTGTTGCAAAAAGAGTCCCTCATGTGCGGATTCCTGAAGGAATCCGGTTATGGCACACTACAAACGTATTCCTTTTGTGGCAAGCTACGAAATGATATTTTGATAATGGATTGGCGAAAGATTCCTTCTGTGGCGAAGTGCAAGAGGATTCCCTTTGTCGCGGATTACAAAACGAATCCTTGTGTGAAGGATTACACCGAGAATTCTTTCGTTGAGGATTACAAGAAAGGCCCTGTGTGGTGGAAGTCAAGGATTTCGTTTGTGGCACGTTACAAAATATTATAGTTGTAATGGTTTCAAAAAACAATGTGTTGTAGCGCTGGAAAAAAAGTAGCGCTGGGGCCATACCTCGTCGCTCAACGCGTTCCCCACAAACCACGAAACATCTCAACGCTGCACATCACATAACACAACGCAAACAGAAACGTCATACATCAAAGCACGCTGTTTATGCACCTCAAAGACGCACCCCCCAGTCCCCCCGCAGACGCTCATATTTTACACGTAACAAAATAATCCCACCGCAGGCGCCGAATTTTCGTCAAACAGTGTGGGCGGTCCGCGGGCGGGTCGCGGGCGAGGACGACGACAGCAACAGCCGAGTAAAAATAATCTTCACCGCAGAGGCCCATTTCGGGCACGCACCCAGCACGGGTGTACGACCGCTCGGCCCCCGCCCCCCCACTTCTGACGTGGTGTAAACTTAAGTCGGGCCTGTCTCCAATACGAGCCTTTTTTGGACGATTTTCTTTTGAAAAAAAAACAACAAAAAAAAACACCAAACATGCTCACAGAAAATACCCCTGCAAAGGGACAGGCCCCACTAAAAGTGTAAGTGTGCAGTGCCATCCCCGTGGCGCACAGGGCGCCCGCACAGCGCGGGAGAGGCCCACAACAGAGCCCGCGTGCGCCCACTGAGCGAAACCCTTTCGGACCCACCCGCACAGGGTCCCCACTTGAGCAGGGGCCGACCGTCCCGGCATTCCTGTGGGCCTGCCACGACATGTTCTCAGAACCCAGACATGTTCTGAAACAGTGTTCTCAGAACGTCAGCCCGCTGTGCTGAAGCAAGACAGCCCCAACCAGGAATGCTCTGAGAACGTTTCGCGGAAACCACAAGAGGCTCTGAGGACACTGTTCCGTGGGCCCAATAGGCACGCCAGGACGCTTCGCCACTGCCTAACCCATGAAGCGCACTGGGGAACCCGCCGAGCAAAACTCTGGCAGACCCAGCGATCCACTCCGAAACACTCACAGGCCCAAGGCGCCAGAGGCATGCGAGGATGTCCGTCGACAGGCTAACAATTGTTCGAAGGATTGCAAAAAAAACGAAGGATTGCAAAAAAACCGAAGGATTGCAACGAAGGATTGCAAAAAAACGAAGGGTTTTTTTTGCAATCGTTCGTTCGCGCGCACGCGGCGCTCTCTGGGGGTCCCCGGGCGAACGGTGCCCCAGGCGCAGCCCGCGCGCAGCCCGGCCACCCATGAGTCAAAGATGGTTGCTCCAGATTTCGTAACGAAGGGAGGGGGGTCTCATTTCGGGGGGGGGGTCTCTTCCAGGCTATCTTGGAGGGCCTGGGAGGGGTCTGGGGACGATGTTTTGGAGGGTTCTCCCACGGGGGAGGTCTGAAATGGCTTGTCTTGGAGGGTCCAGACCCCCTCCCTTTTATTACAAAATCTGGAGTAATTCTTCTGGGCGTCGCCCTTGGGGTTCTCAAGGGTGTTCCAGGATTCTCCATCGAAGCCGGCTGGAATATTCCCCTTTGGTGTTGAGGCCTCCAAAACTGCCCCAAGGCCCTTGGCTCGTCTTCCCCCCCACTTCCCATATTTTCTGGGGAGTCGACGATTCTGTGTCTGTGTGTCATTTTTTTCCCCTCCTGACTCAAGACCCTAGAAAAAAACCCTTCAGGTTTGGGGCCTGCGGGCCCGAGAACACCTGCAGGACCCAAAAGACCCGAGAAGAATCCTTGGCGGTTTCTGGTGCTTGGCCTCCAAGACCTAAACCCTACAGTCGGGGCGTTGCCCTAAGGAACGATAAATAAGGAACGGGGCCCCTTTCTTCCATCAGTTAAACTTCGATATCCCATGGAGAACCTAAGGTAAACCCAAGGCAAGCGGTAAAACAATCCAGGAACACCGAGCCCCTCCCCAACGAAAAAGGTTTCTTCTTCAGCGCCCCGACTGTAGGCCCCAAGACCCAAGAAAAACCCTTCAGAGACCCAAGTCGGGCCGGGCGAAAGGGGGGGATAGCAAAGGGGGGGTTTGAGAATCAGCTCACGCAGCTGATTCTCCCGGCGCCGGGAGGCGCCCATGTATCGAGGAATGGGCCCGGCGGCGGGGCCGAAACCAGCTGCATGCAGCAGATTTCGTAGCCCCCCCTTTCCCTATGCCCCCCTTTCGTTCGGTCCGAAAGAGGGCCCCAGGACGGCCCGAGGCCGGCCGGCCCGAGCAAGCCCCAGGTCGGTCAAAAGAGGGCTCCCGGGAGGGCTCCTGAGGCCCCCGAAAAAGAGCCCCAGGAGGGGGAGTCCAAGCTGACACGCCGAGCCCCTTTGAAGGCGCCCCGGGACACTCAAATAGATACACACAGATCAAAGGATTCCCCATCTTTTCTCATATGTTCTGGGTTTGCGTCTTCCCCCCCACATCCCGTAATTTCCCATAGTTTCCTGGGGATCGACGCTAAATTGTTTATGTTTGTTTCCCCCCTCCTGAACCGTTCTCAAAAGATGGCCACCGAGACTGCCAGCAGGCCCCCATGAGGCCCCAGGCCCAACAGGCTGCCCCAAAAGGCCACCAAGAACCCAAGAGGTCCCAAAGCTGCCATCAAGAGGCCGCCAAAAGCCTTTCCGAGAGACCCCGATATGCCTCCCAAGGAGGCGTCTCATCCACGGTCCACTTTGGTCCCAAGAGTGCCACAAGAAACCATCGAGAGGCCTCATCCTTCTCATCCTCGTGTTCCTCCTCTTCCTCCTTCTCCTCCCTCCTTCCCGCTCACAACGAGCACGCCAATAGAGCACCAGTGATGCAATATAGGCCAGCGGTATCAGCGAAGCGATTGAAGAATCAAAAACCTCTTTTTGAAAGCACTGTCTGGGGATTTGCCATCAGTAAAGCCTCGACGCTTGCTGATCATAAGGAACTTCGCCATCGCCACCAAAGGGGGGACCCAACCAATTCGCAAAACGTGTCGCAGACGCGGTGCAGGAAATACACATACGCAGACGCGGTGCAGGAAATCCATGGTGGCACGAGCGTGCGCTCGATAATGTACTTGCGCACCGCTGCTCTCCAGGCTTCCGCCGGAAGCGTGCCCGTCCACACGAGGCACCCACGAAGCGCCCACGCGGCGACACCCTTGCAGACCCTGCCAGCGTCAGGGAAACGAGTTGAAGAGAACGCCATCGTGCAAGCACTGCTCGGGGAAATGTCGTCCTCAAAATGTTCCAGCCCCCGGCGGCGCAGATGGGTACGATCCATCTGAGCCTGCTTGGCAAATCGCTTGCCCGCCGACGGGGCGCCGCGACACGCTGATAGGGGTCCACATGCGAACCCTACCCCTACCGCCCTACCCCCCACGATTTCTGAGGGGGAGGGGTAGGGTTCGCATGTGGACCCCTAGCTGAGGGCCAGCCAGGTGCCTTAGGGCAGCCCCGTCGACCAAGCGGCCCCTGCACCTTTATTCTTTAGTGGTGGGTCTGGAGGCGTAAGCGTGGCTGGTGCCTGATGACCTCCTAACGACATTCCCAGTCCCAATCCAAAATAATCCTTTTCCATTCTGGCCTGTTCCTTTCCTGCTTTCTCCTTATCCTACCTTTGTATGCTCTACCGTCTCCTCCTCCTCTTCCTCGTCCTTGCCGGCCCCTTCTTAAGGGGGAGACGCGATTTTTGCACCACTGTTGGAACGGAAACCTTGCAACGCGTATTCAAGAACAAATTTGCACGACCCCCCTGCCGCGCCTTGGCAAATATTGAACAGGCAGCCACACACACATCGCAGGACCAGAAGAAGCTGGAAGCCATGGCTTCGAGCGGCAATCTGCAGAATGTTGGATCCGTGGGCCGGAGTGGGTGGAAGCGCTTTTCTTGTCTGTGGCTTCGGGCACTGTTGCACACACACACACACATACTCTTTGCGTCGGCGGCTGGGCAAAATGACAGCGCTGGCGAGTGGAGCGACACGGGGCAACGTTGAGCACATTCGCTACCATGCAGGAGGGGGGGGAAGAAAGACGACGGGGCGACGGCCGAGGCGGGGAGCGAGGCGGGAGCCGGGGCCGCTCAGAGCAGACCCATAAAGCGACGCGAAGCTCGGGACAAAATCGGATCGGGATAACTCGAAATCTCTGAGAATCGGCGGGCTTGGAGGATGTATTGGGCGCCGCGGCCGCTCCAGAGCGCTCCGGAACGCTCTGAGAGCGCTCCGGAACGCTCTGGCGCGATTTGTCCCGATCCTGGCCCTGTTCTACTTTCCGCGGGCCTAGGGGCACCGGCCCGAGGGCCGGCGGCAGACGGCGCAGCCCTTCCGATATGCCGGCGGCCTTCCATATGATCATCACACCGGGGCGTGCCGTGGCGACGTCCGAGAGCTCCTCCAAGTACTGGAAGGTGCGGCGGTCGGACCAGCCCCTCCGGGCGCAGGCGTTGCACTTCAGGATGAACGGAAGGCGGCGAGGCTCGGCTGTCTCGAAGACCTTCTTCAGGTTGGCATCCCTGATGGGCAACCACCGCTGGCGGCACACAGGACAGGGCGGCGCGAGGGGGGCGGATCCTCCAAGGAGCATTCCTGGAAGCCCCCCCGGCCCTCCCAGGAGGCCTCTGGCTTTTAAGAAGGCTGCCCGCCCCGCCCCGACCCCATGTGGCGCGCAGCCAACACAGCTGAACGTCGCCTCCACTGCCAATCGAGTTGCGCCAGCCGGGGGTCCTCGGCGGGGGCTCACTCCGCTCACGCCTGCTCGCAGTCCCATGTGCCCCCCCTCCCCCTTGAGGACCCCCAGTGGGCCCAAATCCATGATCTTTGGAGGCAAGTTCTATTTGCGGCTGGCTGCCTCAGAGCCGCGCCCGCGCCGCGCAGCACCATGTTGGTTTTGAGGCCACCCCGCAGCACGAGCTCGCCCACGGCCTCAGCGCGCGGTCTACCTGCCCCACACAAGCATAAAGCCGAAACAGACAGCCATACAGGCCTCCCTGAGGCCCCCAAAGCGATCAGCACAGCATGGTCAAGACCCATTTTGGAAGACTTCTCGTCCTCTCAATGTTTGGCTGCCTGTTTGGCCCCTAAACCTTTGTGGGACAGCTGGGCCGCGCGCCTTGGTGTCTGGCAAGTCTGCCAGGACGTCCAGCAGGTGCTTCGGAGCTGTTTGGTCGCCCAGGTTGACGCCGCACACACAAAGGGCGAGCCTCTCGCGTTGCCTCGGCGGCAGCTTGGCCAGGTCGACGGCGAGGCGGTAGTCTGTGGCGCTGAAGTAATACAGCTCTCCGTCATCAAAGACCTCTGGGACCGTGGGTGAGAGGGGCTGGAAAGAACACGGACTGGGACATCATGACGTGAGTGGAAATACTGTGAAGACGGCATCAGGGCCCAGAGCAGGGGGGCTACGAATAGGGTGTTTTCATGGTTTGGGTCATAATGAGCAAGCCTGGGTGCACCGAACCCTCTTCCACGCCCCCTGAGCCTCGTGCTCTGGCGGCTTCTCCCCCGTGACGTGCGCCTTCTTCAGGGCGTTGCCAAAGATTGCGGCGCTCGCCACGCTCGCGGCCTCCATGGCCTCCATGAGCTTGGGTGCGCCCTCCGTCTCCTGCAGGAAGTCATAGTAAGAACAGTGCGCATCGAAAATCACACCCTCGGCAGTGGCATCAAGGCTGTACCCAGAGACCCCGGCGCAATTGCCCATGCCGCGTCGTCGTCAGAAGTCACCCCGAGTCGGGCGAGCCCAAGCCAAAAAGGACTCGAGCCGCGCTCGCTGCGGCGGTTTCGAGCTGGCGCGGTCGTCGACTCCAAGAGCCTGGCTCTGAACAAGACAGGGAGCAGGAAAGGCCTCAACCCTACGGTCCATCACATACAATCGGGGGCGCGCAAACATGAATTAGCGATCCATGGATTTGGCGCGCGGTCGCCAAGTCCATGGATCGGGGGAGGTCCTTCCCAAAATGCGGCCCGTGCCGCCTCGTTCGGCTGTGGAAAACGCGATTCCCCATGAAAACCGGACCCGTCGCTAATCCACGCCCCTTTCATCCATGTTTGCGATCGCCTGATGCAAGCAACAACCGAAGAAACTGCAGATTCGAACCGTACTCCCAGAGCCGGACACCTGGCACCCAGAATCCTACCAGCCCCCTGGGCGCAGGTGATCCAGAGCGGCTCCTCTTCCCCTTCCTCCTCTTCCTCCTCTTCCTCCTCCTCCTCCGCCTCCTCCTCCTTCTTATTGTTCTGAATACTCTTATTATTATTCGTATTCGTCTTCGTCTTCGTCTTCGTGTTCGTCTTCGTCTTCTTCTTCCTCTTCTTATTGCTCTTCCTCTTCCTCTTCCTCTTCCTCCTCCTCCTCCTCCTCCTCGACCTCCTCCCCCTCCTCGACCTCCTCGACCTCTGCGACCTCCTCCTCCTCCTCCTCCTCGCCTCCTCGTCCTCCTCCTCGTCCTCCCTCCTCGTCCTCCTCCTCCTCCTCCTCCTTTTCCTCCTCCTCCTCCTCCTCCTCCTCCCTCCTCCTCCTCCTCCTCCTCTCCTCCCTCTCCTCCCTCTCCTCCCTCTCCTCCCTCTCCTCCCTCTTCTCCTCTCCTCCTTCTCCTCCTCCTCCTCCTCCTCCTCCTCCTCCTCCTCCTCCTCCCCCTCCCTGCTCAAGGTTGGGTGCAAGGATGCTGGAGCCCTGCAACACTTTGATGATGATGGATTCCAAGTGTTCGTGGATTTTTCGTACGAGTGTGCAGACTTGGCCCAGGGGCGCGCCCTCATGGCCTCCAGGGCCAACCTCATGGCCTGGATCAAGAAGCAGTGGAAGAAAAAACCACGGCTAGCTCATGCCCATGTCAAGCCACAGGCTGGCCCAGAGAAGGAGATGCAGGACACACAAGGCCGCGCCGTCAGCGGTCCTCAGGGCATGTTGGAGCTCTATCGGGAGCAGTGGGACGAGATTTGGACAGAGCGAGTTGGCAGCTCGGCCGATTGTCGCTTCTGGTGTAGTCAGCTCCTGGCAGATGCTCACGCCCAAGGACTGCCTGTTACCACCCTGGACAAAGTGGATAGTGCACTCAAGCTCATGGCTCCTGGCAAAGCGCCAGGCATTGATGTTCTGGGACCTCGTGATGCGCAGCGCCTTCCTGATACTGCGCGACGACAGCTGGTTGATACTCGAAACAAGGCCGAGCGTGGAGGTGCTTGGCCGACCACCATCTCCACGGCTCTGGGGGCCGCCATTCCCAAGGATGCGGGTGGTTGCCGCGTCTTGGGCTTGCTGCCCTTACCCTTCAAGCTGTGGAGCCGCATCCACGCTGCACCCTCAACTGCGTGGTCTGGGAAGCAAGGTGCATTCTGGGATACTGCGATTGCTGGGAGTTCGGCTCCACGTGCTGCGTTGGCGCGAGCCGTTATGGATGAGTGCGCCAACGAGCTCCGCATCCAGCGCGCCACGCTATTCCTGGACCAGCAGAAGTTCGACGACTCGATCAATTTCGTCCTCCTCATGCAGGCGAGCCGCCCCCTTCTCCAAATCCATTAGGCTGCGAGCTAAAATCGCATGCTGACCCTTGCCTGGACCCCCTCTACGAAAACCGTATCATAACTCACTTGCCTCCCTGCGACAACATTATCCCAACACCAGGCTTACGCGCGAAATTCGTTTCCGAATCCGTTGGGCTGCGAGCGAAAACCTCATCCTAACTCACTGCCCCCCTACGAAAACATTATCCTAACTCACCGGCCTCCTTCCGAAAACCTTATCATAACACAAGGCTTACGCGCGAAAGTCTGCTCAAAACCCATTGGGCGGCGAGCGAAAACCTTATCCTAACTCATTGGCCTCCCTACGAAAAGCCATATCATAACTCACTGGCCTCCCTGCGAAAACCTTATCCTAACGCCAGGCTTACGCGCGAGATTCTTCTCCGAATCTAATGGGCTGCGAGCGGAAATATTATCCTAACTCACTGGCCTACCTACGAAACAACTTCTCCTAACTCACTGGTCTCCTTCCGAAGACCTCATCATAACACAAGGCTTACGCGCGAACGTCTTCTCCGAATCAATTGGGCTGCGAGCGAAAACCTTATCCTAACTCACTGGCCCCCTACGAACACCGCATCCTAACTCACTGGCCCCCCTACGAATACCTTATTCGAACGCCAGGCTTACGCGCGAGATTCTGTTCCTAAACAATTGGGCTGCGAGCGAAAACCTTATCCTAACTCACTGGCCTCCCTACGAAAACCTCATCCAAACTCACTGGCATCCGAGCGAGAAACTACGAAAACCTCATCCTAACTCACTGGCCTCCCTACGAACATCGCATCCTAACACCAGGCTTCTACGCGAAATGCTGCTTATCCGAATACATTGGGCTGCGAACGAAAACCTTATCCTAACTCAGCGGCGCCCCTAGGACAACCCCATCCTAATTCACTCCCCCTCCCTCCGACGAAAGCCGTATCTTAACACCATGCTTGCGCGCGACATGCTTCTCCGAATCCACTGGGCTGCGAGCGAAAACCTCATCCAAACCCAACGGCGCCCCTGCGAAAACCTTATCCTAACTCACTGGCCCCCCTACGAAAAAAACCTATCCGAAAACCAAGCCTGCGCGCGAAATGCCTCTCCGAATCCTGTGGGCTGCGAGCGAAAACCGCATCCTAACTCCCCCCCCCACACACACCACACACACACACACACCACACACCACACACACGCACACCCACACACACACACACACACACACACACACACCACACACACCACACACACGCCCACCCACCCACCCACCCACCCACCCACCACCCACCCACCCCCCCCCACCCCACCCCCCCCACCCCATACACGAAAACCTAATCCGAACTCGCTGGCCCCCCTACGACAACCTCATCCCAACACCAGGCTTGCGCACGAAATGCTTCTCCGAATCCTCTGGGTTGCGAGCGAAAACCTTATCCTAACTCAGCGGTCTCCCTACGATAACCTGACCCTAATTCACTGGCCCCCCTGCGAAAACCTTATCCTAACACCAGGCATGCGCGCGAAATGCTTCTCCGAATCCTCTGGGCTGCGAGCGAAAACCTTATCCTAACTCAGCGGTCTCCCTACGATAACCTGACCCTAATTCACTGGCCCCCCTGCGAAAACCTTATCCTAACACCAGGCTTGCGCGCGAAATGCTTCTCCGAATCAATTGGGCTGCGAGCGAAAACCTTATCCTAACTCAGCGGCGTCCCTACGAAAACCTGATCCTCTCACTGGCCCCCCTACGAAAATCTCATCCTGACACCAGGCTTGCGCGCGAAATGCTTCTCCGAATCCATTCGGCTGCGAGCGAAAACCATATGCTAATTCAGCGGCATCCCTATGAAAACCCCATCCTAACTCGCCGGCACCCCTGCGAAACCCTTATCCTGACACCAGGCTTGCGCGCGACATGCTTCTCCGAATCCTTTGGGCTGCGAGCGAAAACCTTATCCGAACTCAGCGCCCCCCCTACGAAAACCTTATCCGGACTCGCTGGCCTCCCTGCGAAAACGTTATCCCAACGCCGGGCTTGCGCGCGAAGTGCTTCTCCGAATCCAAACTCGGCGGCCCCCTATCCTAACTCACTCCCCCCCCCCTACGACAACCTTATCCCAGCGCCAGGCTTGCGCGCGACATGCTTCTCCGAATCCATTGGGCTGCGAGCGAAAACCTTATCCTAACCCAGCGCCCCCCCTGCGAAAACCCTATCCTAACTCACTGGCCTTCGCGCGAAAACCTTATCCTAACACCAGGCTTGCGCGCGAAATGCTTCTCCGAATCCATTGGGCTGCGAGCGAAAACCTTATCCTAACTCAGCGGCCCCCCTACGAAAACCTCATCCTAATAACTCACTGGCCCCCCTACGAAAACCTTATCCTAACGCCGGGCTTGCGCGCGAAATGCTTCTCCGAATCCAAACTCAGCGGCCCCCCTACGACAACCAACTCAGCGGCCCCCCTACGAAAAAACCTTATCCGAACACAAGGCTTGCGCGCGAAAGGCTCCTCCGAATTCATTGGGCTGCGAGCGAAAACCTTATCCTAACTCAGCGCCCCCCTACGAAAACCTTGTCCTAACTCACTGCCCCCCCTGCGAAAACCGCATCCTAACACCAGGCTTGCGCGCGAAATGCTTCTTCGAATCCTTTGGGCTGCGAGCGACAGCGCTATCCTAATTCAGCGCCCCCCATGCGAAACCTCATCCGAACTCACTGGCCCCCCTACGAAACCCTTCTATCCTGACGCCAGGCTTGCACGCAAAATGCTTCTTCGAATCCTTTGGGCTGCGAGCGAAAACCTTATCCTTGCTCAGCGCACCCCTAGGAAAACCTTATCCTAACTCACTGGCCCCCCTGCGAAAACCTTATCCTAACACCGGGCTTGCGCGCGACATGCTTCTCCGAATCCTTCGGGCTGCGAGCGAAAACCCCATCCTATCCCAGCGGCCCCCCATACGAAAACCCCATCCTAACTCGCTGGCCCCCCCACGGAAACGCCATCCTAACACCAGGTTTGCGCGCGACGTGCTTATTCGAATCCTTTGGGCTGCGAGCGAAAACCCGATCGCAATTCAGCGCCCCCCCCCCCCTACAAAAACCTCACCCTAACTCACTGCCCGCACACACACACACACTGCCCACACACACACACACACGCACGCACGCCACGCCACGCCACGCCACGCCACACCACGCACACACACACACACACACGCACACACACACACACCACACGAAACCCTTATCCTAACACCAGGCTTGCGCGCGAAATGCTTCTTCGAATCCATTGGGCTGCGAGCGAAAACCTTGTCCTACCTCGGCGGCCTCCCTACG